TAGTTGTGGGTGTGGTTTTCGGTGTAGTTGTGGGTGTGGTCTTAGCTGTAGTTGCGGGTGTGGTCTTAGGTGTAGTTGCGGGTGTGGTTGCAGGTGTAGTTGTGTTTTTTGGGTCTATGAATGAAGTAAATTGTTGTGCAGGAGCCACAGTAGCAGAATCTTTGGACTCCTGTGTGTCTTTGGCCAGTGACAGTGCTTTAAGGAAGAAGAAATACAATTAATGACTTTAATTTATCATCCAAGGCTAAAAGCTGCATTAGTCAAAACACAATTATAAAAAAATACAATGGATGAAATGGCTAATACTTCATTTTAATGATAATTTGTACAGCACGACCTTATGAATGACAGTGCAGTTAAGACCTAAATTTGTTTACATTTCCACAAGTAGTGCAATGTAACCCAGCTACCCAGTAAATAAGACATAGAACTAATTTATAACTTTAACTGCCTTATGATTAAGCAATCCATATCTGCACCATTTACATTTGGTTCAAAATGTTGCTGCCAGGTTGATGACAGTAACATTTTGAAGCTGGTATAACCTTCTTTTCTGCATTTTCTCGCCATCATTTTCTGAGTATAGCTTATTTCTGGTGAAACCTCCCAACAACCATACACTGAGTTCCTCTGACTGGTTGTCTCTTGATCTCGATTCAGAATACCGAACAGACTGATTTCGTAATTGTTTCCCTTAATTTTCTGAAGCTTCCAACCATGTAGCAAAAAAGCACTAGTTTTCATGTGTAGTTGGTCATGTTTAATAGCATTTTTTGCATTATTTTTGATGCTTTCATTCAATTCTGGTCATTATAAAGCATTTTGTTTGATCTCCTTACCTGTTTTTTTTATCTTATTGTTTTGAACGACTTTGTTAAATGTATTATACATTGAATGTTTAATTTTTTCTTGGCTTTTTTATTTAGGCTCAGCTGACTTTGATAACATGCAGATTGAGAAACTGAGTAGACCGTAAAGAGTCAACATAAACTATGACCTCCAGGTGATAGTCTGCATAAAACAAACAGCAAAGAGAAAATAAGAAACCAATTCTTCAGGTTTCAAAGCTTAGACTGAGCTGGAATTCAGCAAACCTTAAAGCGTAACTGGATAGTCTGGCAAAAGGAACTTAGTAAGCGCATTCTTCAACACCACTGGGTTTCAGAAAGTCACGGATTCATCCTGTCCTCTAAAAAAACAGCCCACATCTGCCAGCAGACATGTGACTCAGGGCTGTAGATTGCGGAAACTTTTGTTCCTTAAACAATCCAGGAAGTCACAGTGAGGTCGCATGAGACCATTTCATGCCTAAATAAATAACACAGCAAATAAATGACACTGTATTACACAATGGCAATTCTTCAAATACGTTCTTTTTAAAAAGTTATTACATGGAGTAATACAATTCACATATCTAAACTATATTGCAATACTCCTGCTAAACTCCACACAGTGTTTTTATTTAGATAAAGAGGTTGAAATAGAGGGCCTCTTACCTGAGACAGCACAGCTGGCAAGAAAGCAGAATAAAACAAGCCTCTGCATGGTGGAAATGTTGACTGGGTTTACAGCAACCAGTTTGATATGCAACAATAGTGCTGTGACTCTTATCATAAATACTGGGTCAAAGGAGCTGCAACACAACAGGAAGCTCATCTAGAGCGCTTTCAGAATAAAGGGAGCATCTGAAACACTGTTATTCTAAATCAACATTTTGAGAATGTATAATTTTTTATTTGATCTAAATTAATTTCCACAAATGTCACATTTATGTTTTAATTGAACATTTAAAATATTTTAAACAAAAAGGGATTGGCGCAAAACAAATAATGAAATGACCAAATAAATTAAAACAATTATCTTGGCTGATAATACTGGCATAGGATAGTTCACCATAGCAATTAAAACAATCCACTTATAACTAATTTATTTTGTGAAAAGCTTCGTTCATATAGATATTTTACTTTTAGTTGGAGATTTAACCATTTTGTGGTATGGTGTTGCAATAAAAAAGACCTTCTCACCACGATGGAAATATTTTATTCTGAAAGCACCAAAAGAAGCAATACTCTTGATTCTGACATTTTTGACACAACTTTAAAGCTGGTCTACAGATAGCAGCTTTCAGGAAACGAAACCTATGAGAGCAGTGGAGGGGGTTGTAGCTTGTAAAAGAGGAGGGAAAGGTCACATGTTATTCTAAACCACAATGAAATGAAACGAAAGTTCGAACTAACCAACATTTTTTTCCAAATTGTTCATGTGATTCCTGTGATGTGCCAGTCAGTGCTGACCACCACCCACAAGACGGTCTACTTCCAATGCCAATGTCCAATGTCTGTTTCATTAAGTAAGAAACTTTAGAAAAGGAAAATGAAAGGGAATGAATTGGATTAATTTGGAATTTAATCACTTTGACTTGATCATGACTGTTAAAGTTCCATTTACATATAATTAGATTAGGTGCCATATCAGTAAAAGTACATTTTGACTTGATCATGACTCTTAAAGTTCCATTTACATATGATGAGATTAGGTAAAAGCTTATGCTAGAGAAAAAAAATGCAAATTTGAGCAAAGTGTGTTTTATTTAAAATACACTGAAAGTGAAGTATTACTGACAGTGATGTTATACAGGTGCTGGTCATAAAATTTGAATATCATGAAAGAGTTTATTTATTTCAGTAATTCCATTCAAAAAGTGAAACTTGTATATTATATTAATTAAATACACTCAGGCTGATGTATTTAAAGTGTTTTTTATTTCATGTTGATTCTTAATAACTGGCAACTGATGAAAACGTGAAATCCTTAATCTTAGAAAATTTTAAATTAAGACCAATACAAAGAAAGGATTTGTAGAAATGGTGGCCAACTAAAAAGTATGAGCATTTACAGCACTCAGTACTTAGGTACTGGTAACTTTTGCGTGGAGTGAGGGGGCCCAGGCCCAGTCCTGTTTGAAAATCAAATTTGCATCTCCATAAAGTTGTCCAGCAGCAGGAAGCATGGAGTGCTTAAAACTGCCGGCTGTGTTGACCTTTGACCTCAGAAAACCCAGTGGACCCGCAGCAGCAGATGACACGGGACCCAAAACCGTCCCTGACCGGGACTCCGGAGGGAAACTTTACACTGGACCTCAGGCAACGTGGAGTCTGTGCCTCCCTTCTCTTCCTCCAGACGCTGGGAAATTCAAAATTTACTTTCACTTTGTATCTTGAAGCACCGAATCCCACTCCCCTATATTTATTATATATGTTTTTAAATCTCCTCTCCACGGTGGGGTTATCTCTATTGCTTTTATATTTTGTTTTACCACATCTTTTCATTCCCGTTGCCTCTCTCTTAATGCGTGCTGGGATCAGCCAGCCTCTTTAGCAATGCCCTTAGTGTCTTGCCTTCATTGTGCAAGGTGTCAATGGTCGTCTTTTGAAGAACTGCCAAGTCAGCAGTTTCCCTATGATCGTACAGCCTATAGAACAAGACCTAGAGGCTGTTTTAGGGCCTTTGCAGGTATTTTGAGTTAATCAGTCGATTAGAGTGTGGCACCAGGTGCCTTTTATATTGAACCTTTTCACAAAATTCAAATTTTAGATACCGAATTTGTGGCTTTTTTTAGTCGTCATTTATCACCATCAACATAAAAAGAAACAAACCTTTGAAATATATCAGTCTGTGTGTAATGAATAAGTATAATATGCAAGTTTCACTTTTTGAATGGAATTACTGAAGTAAATCAACTTTTTCATGACATTCTTATTTCATGACTCCCACATGTACACACACCATCAGTGTGTGGTGGTACACAATTGCAGTGCAATAGTTCTTTGTGTTGGTGTTGTTATTAACAATGGAAGAGGAAGCAGTGGAAGATATATGTATACACATATAAATATCATGCAAAACAGCAGTCATAATATTATTACTCAGAAGAACTTGACAATAGCAGTATCACAACAGGATCATTTCTCACAGTTGCATTAAAAAGTAACTACTGTTGTTATTTTGGAGTTGAAATGTTGTACATTACTAGAATAAGTGGCAAAAGTTATAACTGTCTTAATATAATAATGCAATACAAGCAGTAGTGGAAGTATTTATCTACAGAAATAGTAGAAGTAATAGCACAGTTAATCATAGAATTGAATATAGAACTCTCATGGAAATTGTATATTGCAGTATACTCCTGTCAAAGATGAATTAATACTTGTAGTTTTAGTAACTGTAGTATACAAATCTAGAATAATTATTGTTTTAATGCAACGCAAAAATTGTAATAGCACAAGCTAAAGTATCCCTGTAATAGTCACAGATTACAAAAGTGGCAAATTTATTATTAATATTAACAGTTACAACCTTTAAGTGAAGGAACAAAACAAATTAATATGATAGCATTTTAATGTTTTTCAGTTCACAAAACACTCGTACTGTGACATAAAAATGAAATAAGATGTTTTTCAAACACGCATCAGCGGGTGGCTGATAGAAACTCTGATTAGTGGCTGCATTGTTGTCACAGTCAGACCTGTTTTGACCACATCCTCGTGACAAAGTGAACAGGAAAAACCTCTGAGAAAAACTGACTGTTACCACATGCATCACCCCTAACAATGCAGCTCCCGGGAAATTTTGTCTGCCTTATTGTTTCAGTTGGGCAAAATACAAAAGCTGAAAATCTAACCTTACAACATGCTCTGAGAAGATGAAACAGAGAAAGTAAAGAGAATAAAAACCTCCATGTTTTTACCAACAGCCGTTCTGACCCTGCGTGCTCTGTACATTTAACAGAGTACTGTACTTCAGAACCTCATCATAATTGGACTTTAGGCATATATTAGTGCACAAAAAGGTCCAATATCTTACAAAATAAAGTACTGGCATATAGTTACACTAGCCTGTATGAAATATTACATCAGTGTGCTGAGTTGATTTTTCTGAATCCATGCTCAGGACTAAAAGTTGCAAAACCAGAACCACTTCTGCATTGACTGTGACCATTTTAGTCCCGTAGTGTTACCATGCCCATGAAAGCAGCCTTCTTTCAGACATTTGAACAGTTGACTGTACTGGTTTATACTGTTCAGGTCCACTTTCTGGACCAAATACAGACAAAGCTTTGTAGCATCATTCATAAGCCCTCTTAATATATTGGACAAATAAATTAATATAAACTTTAGATATTAGAAAATAATAGATAAACTAGCTCCACTTAAAATGGTCTCACATGTAAACATAACAACTGGGTTAGAATGAATTCTCTGTTGCTGCAAGCTGGACTAGGAAAGGTACTTTTCTTCCTGGTTGCCTTAACTCATGTTTACTGATTTTGTGACCTCTAGTGGTTGAAGGAATATTTTTATCTGAATTAACGACAGCATCTACCCATTTTAATGGGTATTGGATCAAACAGTTATCTTGAAACATTTAATCAGTGTCTGCAATCTTTAACTGATGATTTCATGTTTTTACACCAAAAGGCTCCTATGCACAATTTCTTTTGGTGTCATGTTTTGAGCATTGGGGTGTTCTTCAGGTTGTTCGTTTTGGTGGTTAGTATAACTTTAGAACTACCCACCACCAAGTTTCGCATGTGATTGATCATATCTGTTTATAAGTGCATATGCAATCATGTTCACAAACAAACTGTTTGTTATTTCACCCTGCGATGGACTGACAACCTGCCCAGTACCTCTCGGTGGGTCATTTAGTACCAGGCTGCACAGAAAGATTAAATAACTTATATTATTTTCTTTTTTATCATTATTATTCGTGTCTGAACAATGTTTCATTTTTCAAAAATGTGGAGAATTTTCCCTGTTACATCTATCTGTGACTCCCTCTCGATGCATGTTGAGATGCCTGTCTCGGTAACATTACACAATTATGGTTATTTTAAACCCTCAAAGTATGAATAAATCCACTTATTTCTGATAACTACAACAAAGGTCATCGATTAACAAGAGTTCCAAAAAAGCAAAAACATCCCAAAACTATTTACATATTTATCCCTATTAGTTCAATACATAGCACATACAAATCCGTTTGAACATAAATATAAAACTATAAACTAAATATCCAATTGAATAAACTTAAGTGTGTGACAGTAATCAATGCAAAGTGACTGAAACGGGGGATGAAGAAGTAAAAGTTATTTATTCATACCCCTTGTCCCTCTGATTTGACTTATACTAACCCTCCTATTTCCTGTTTGATTTCTATGCTTCTGATCCAAAATTCACAAACACAACCCCCCCAAAATAAAATAACACGTACATACACACATACATTTTTATGTACGATGGACTCTCTAAATTCAAACATGAAATAATCAGTGCATCAGTGCATGCACCAAATGATAATGGATTACAATTATATAATAAGGGAAGGATGCTGTTGATGGATATTAAAAAGGTAGAGTATTAGCATCTTAATTCAAGCTTTTAAATGTTAAAATACCCAGTGTGTGTTGCAGAAACAATTGTTTGCTGAACAGTTTCCCGCCGTAGCACACTTGACTGAAATGTATGGGTCTTCACCAGCTTTCTGTTAACCTGAATGGCTGTTCCACCTTTTTTAACCAGGTGTGCAGGAGAGAGGAAACTTGGAAAACATGCAGGGCACAAAACTTTGAGGCGCTTGGTTGGGAAACACTGCTAAGACAAGATGAAATCCCAGCATCATGACTTTTACTCTTTACCAACGGACTGTATGCCATTATCCACGTCAACAATTAGCTCCTCCAAGAACAACTAAATTATTACAGGACTGGCTGCCATTTTCTGAGTACATGCATGCACCTTACCATGGTAATTAAACTCCTCATGGCAATGAGAGAGCACTTGTGCACTTGCTATTTTGACTTTGACTATACACATTAATTTTGGAGTAGGAGGGGATCAGCTCCTAATACTGTATACAAATATTTCCTACAATTAACTATAATCTAAACAATGCAGTACAACAACTTCATGTTTTGCCTCAGGACGACAGATGCGAATTAGCAACTATGCTAGAATCTGGCTCATTTACAATCTGTATGAGATTGTTCATTAATGTGCACTGTCCTGATTAAATAAATAAATAAATAAAAAATACTGAGACACAAACATTAAGCAAGCTGCTTTATTCATTTGTATTTTTACAAGACCGTACAGTTTTTCCCACACGGGTGTGTCTAATCCAGTGTTTTTTTTTAAAACTCAAATATAATATTTCAGATCAAATCTGACTTCATGAGAGGCAGAACCTGTTTATTGTCATGAGGAAACACGCTTAGCCAATCCTGCTGCTCCTCGCCCCGAGGCTCCGCCCACGGTGACGACACACGAGGGGAAACTGCGCGATTCCATAAAAGGAAAGTGACGACGCATGCGCACTGGCCTGAGTTTTGTTTGAAGTGAATTGCTGCCTGGAACTGCCCTGTAAGCTGCAAAGTCGTCAACCATTTCATTTCCAAAGGTTATTTGCTTAATCGAATCCACCTTACTTGGCTTCTCTATGCATCGTAGAGACGATGTTAGGCCATCATTTTCAAAATGTCGACAAGTCGCAACAACTGGTCAACTATGTGGAGGATTACCTGGAATGTGTGGAGTCCCTGCCTTTGGACATACAAAGAAATGTGTCTCTGCTACGAGAAATCGATGCAAAGTATCAAGGTATAGTGCGAGCATATTTGATTTTTCAGTTCCATTGAAGTGGTCGGTGTCCGCAAACACTGACGGCTGACTGACTGATATGCAGACATGTTGGGAAGCCCCGTGTTCCCATTTTGTACAAAAAAAACCTAGCTTTCCGTGTTCCTTCTTATTTGAATGAACAGCAATGTTGACTAATGTGTGAGCAACCACGGTGTTGAGCCAAGTGCTGAAGTACCGTGTCAGAAATCCCTCAGTTAGCCGAGCCCGGATGCACTCCCTCCCGTTCACTCCGCAACGCCAAACGTCATAAAAAAAAATCCAACATTTAGTGTTTCTCTCTCGCGGCAAACGTCTGAATGTCATTAGCTGTGTTAATGTAGCTCTCGTGAATATTTTGTGTTCGGTTGTAAATTCGGTGTAAATATTGTCCGGGAAATGGGACCGCATAATAATAAAATGTCAACTTTGATAGTGTGGCTGTTGCCTCCTGTTAACGGAGGGGATTCTATCTGCATGGACCGTGAGACACATGGACAATTGTTAGTTAAACGTTGTGCTGTAGATTAACTAACGCCCAAACCGCATACGTAGGATTTAAACCGGGTAGTATATGCCTCCGCCCATTGTGCTAGTTGTATGAATTCTGACAGAACGATATTTACCTTTAAAAAAAAAAGAAAGAAAAAATAAGTCGTATTCGCTACGCTATCGGCGTATTTTCAGCTCGCTTCGAAGCATTTTGCGCAGAACTATCGTGTTAAAGAGGCAGAAAACAGCCCTGCACGGCAGACATTTGATAACACAACGCCTACACAACTGGAAACAGTCTTAAGTGAGCCTTTTATGTCGATGCGGGACGAGTTCCGACTTGCAAGCAGAGTCTATAAAATCTGACGTACATTCTCAGACCAGATCTTCATCGGTTTGAGTGATGTTTGCTTTCCACTGACTTGTCTTCATCTTCCAGTGAGCCGGATAGCCTCCCCATAAGTTCCCCTTTAGCAGCAAACTTCCGTCACTTCCTGTTGTCAGGAATTCTCTGCAGCTCCACCTCCTCCCTGAGACCCCCCCCCCCCCCCTCTGGGCTCACAGCCCAAAGGGGGGGTCTGCAACAACCTGCATAGAAACGCACAAAGTAAATCCAACCCAGTCCTAAAAAGACAGGGCGGTGCATGTCCAGTCCTGGAGATCTACTGCCCTGCAAGTCTGAGATGTTTCCCTGCTCCAAAACGCCTGATTGAAACCGGTGAATATCAGGAAGCATCAGCAGACCTTTCCAGTTGAAAACCTTCTTTAGCTCTTCTGTAATGTTTTCAGTCATTTGCTGGACCGATGGAAACTTGTCAGCGTTCAGATCAATTTTCAGATTTATCCTAATTTGCTGAAACAAAAGTTTGACTAAAGTACAAACCTTCATCTCCGATGTACTGTCTTTCTTGAAATTGAGCATTCTAAAAAATGAGGATATACAGTATAATGATATTAAGTTAAGTAAACAGAAAACATTTCTTTGGGAAGTGAAAGGAACTTCTTAATTTGCTTTAAATGGATGGGTTTTGAATGCTTCTCCTTTAGAGGAAGACCCTGAAACAAAATTATTCAAAGAAACAAAATCACATTTGGGTAATTCAAATAGTCCTGCAGTTCGGTTCAGATTTAAGCTGCATGTCAACTGCAGGAGTCTGTTTTTGGTAACTCGTCCATGAGGAGTTCCCCGCGTTGGCCCCACGTTTTCCACAACAACAAGGTGGCAAACAGTTCAGAGGTAGAAACAAAACAACCATAGTAGCAGGAGAACACTTTTTACAGTACATTTGTACTGAGAGCTTTTTAAATCAAAATGCTTGTCCCACTGAACAAGTTTCAACCATTTTGCTTTTACTTCTAGATATTTTAAAAATTGATCTCCACCTTGGCCTAATTAATTAATAAGAAATTATACAACATTAAGTTATATTACAGTAATGTTTGAGTCCAAACATTCAACCTCAAACATGCCCTGTCGTGGATAGACAGTGAGGTAGGTAAAAGTGAGTAAAAATAGTGCTCTGGTTATTCTTTAGCTTCCCTAAATTGGTACATCCTGACCAGTGCAGCAAACCAAAGCAATCCAAGTAACACGAGAAATTATATTTCACATTTTAGAGATAAAGTTACTCTAATGTAGGCTGTGTGTCATATTTAAGGGCTGAAATGTACTCCATTATTCTCTGGTTTATTTTTATTCTGTGTGCTTTTGGTAAAAAACAAAAAAAAGTCCCATTTGAATTACATGGTGTTCAGCCATGTCGTATTAATCTTTTCATCCTTTACTTTGCAGAGGTGCTGAAGGAGGTGGATGAGGTCTTTGAGAAATACAAAGGTGAACAGGACATCGGTCAGAGGAAGCGGCTGCAGGTCCAGCTGCAGCGGGCGCTGATCATCAGCCAGGAGCTGGGGGACGAGAAGATCCACGTGGTCACCCAGATGACCGAGCTGGTGGAGAACCGCTCCCGCCAGATGGACTCCCACTCCCTCTGCCTGCAGGAGTCCGGCGAGCCCGAGCGGCTGACCGCGGAGCGGCGCTCCAGCGTCCAGGAGCCGGCCGGCCCGGAGCGCAGCTCGGCGCGGCGGCCCCGGCGCCAGCGCAACAGCGAGAGCCGCGACTCCACCCACACCTCCGCCAACGGGTCGCTGGTGGATGACCCCGCGGAGGAGCTGCCCCTGCCCCCGCCCCGAGAAAAGAAGTCCAAGTCCTCCAAGAAGAAGAAGCGCAGATCCAAGCAGGAGCGGGACGCCTCGCCGGTGGACTTCGCCATCGACCCCAACGAGCCCACCTACTGCCTCTGCGAGCAGGTGTCCTACGGCGAGATGATCGGCTGCGACAACGACCAGTGCCCCATCGAGTGGTTCCACTTCTCCTGCGTCGGGTTGACCTACAAGCCCAAGGGGAGGTGGTACTGCCCCAAATGCCGAGGGGACAGTGAAAAGACCATGGACAGAAGCCTGGACAAAAACAGAAAGGACCGCCGGTCCAGGTAGTGAACTGCCGTCAGCCTGAGGGTTGAGACTTTTAAACGTGGACGAGAAGAGTACGTGTAGTGTTGTAACAGCGGTCAGCAGCACCATGTCCATCCAGGACAACCTGGCCAGGGACTGTCCTGCAAAAACCATCAGCTCAAAGCTGCCATCTTCCAAGTGTTCGCTTTTGGTGGGACAAATTTTTATTGGACAAAAGTACAACTATAAAATGAAAGTATCTTTACATTTACTTACAGCTTTTCATTCTGGGGTAGCTGGAACAATTAGTTTTCTTCCCTTGTGGTCAAATTTATGTTTGTTTTTCTTAAATTTTCTTTTTTTTATTACTCTCTAAATCGAATCGATGTCTTTCGAAAGTAAAGACACGTAGTAAATAACTCACACTTGCAATATGTTTATAAGAGATTCATATTTAAGCTGCAACATGATTGTTGATGGGACAATAAAGGACAATGGTTTGTTTATATTTCCACTGGTACTCTATCCCTATTGTGTACATTTCTTTTTATATTCATTAAAACAAACAATGGTCACTCAGTTTCCATTCAGTTTTTATTTACCGTCAAAAGTGCAAGAAATAAGATTCCATCCTCAACTTTGTTTTTTTTTACTAAATTCAAGACACTTGGTATATTCTTGTTTCATAAAATTGATCTCCATATTTTAGATAAACAGCAAAACAGAAAATGGATGGATGGATTAGGTATCTAATGTATTTCTGTATTTGAAGACTATATTGTCAGTTATCAGTTGTTTAAGCTGTGGCCTTTCCTAATCAAGTCCAATCAGTATAATTACACACAGCTGGACACCAATGAAGGAGCAGAACCATCTCAAGGAGGATCAGAAGAAATGGACGGCATGTGAGTTAAAAATGAGTGTCACATTAACAGGTCTGAATACTTATGACCATTTGATATTTCAGGTTTTTTTTAATGAATTTGCAAAAATTTCTACAGTTCTGTTTTTTTCTGTCAACATGGGGTACTGAGTGTACATTAATTAGAAAAAAAATGAACTTTTTTCATTTTAGAAAATGGCTGCAATGAAACAAAGAGTGAAACTTTTAATGCGGTCTGAATACTTTCTGTTCCCACTTCACAATTTACAAAACATAGAACAAACATAGAAGACAAACCGATGGACTTGAAAACACCTATTATCCTTTTAACTCCTTTTAACTGGTTTAATAGCTGGTTCGTTATATTTTTTGCCACAGACTTTATCAGGAATCGTTATCATATAATATGCCACCGAAGAGAAAAGTTATTAATGAGGATGAGCTTGAGGACAGAGAGAAGTCACTCAACTTCTTATCTGATGAAGTGAGAAACATCTGAAAACAACAAAAATTGATTTTGGATTTAATGAGGGGGATAAAAGATCTTAACAGGCAAAATGAGGAAAAGGATTATGGCATTGGAAAGTGGCGTTTGTGATTTAGAACAATATTTCAGACTAAATGATGTCATAACTAACAGTATGGAAACTAATTTATCATTTGCAAATGTTACTGGGAATTTTCTGAACATGAAGTACTATCCACAGAAGAACAGGTTATGGCCTTTTAAAAAAATAAGGGTGCAAATATGATTAGTTATTAACAGAAAATATAAGAAACAACTACTTAAACAAGGACGTAAGTGGAAAAAAAAACATTTATCCCTTTAAAGCCTCGTCCAAGAATAAAACAAAACAGAAAATGACTTTATTTTGGTTTAAAGTCTTTATTTGGCCTTTTAACAAAATATGTAAAAAGAAAAAACAGAAATACATTTTTTATATTAATAATTTATTACTATGCGATAAGTCAAGATTATTTTTTGTGTATTCTTCTGCCCCCTGTTATCAGGTGTATCTGATTGTGTACAATAGGATTTTGTGCAAAGCTTTTACCATTAAATTATGCAAAAGGTGTCAGACGTAAAACATTTGAGAAACCGTATGTATCATATATGATACATTTGGCATTACAGGGTTAAATTAATGAGCATTAATAAAGAACAATGTGGATATTATGAGACAGGCAAGATTATTGAGAAAGCATAAAAAAGTACAGTAAACATGGACATCCGACTGCATAGTATATATAAAACTTAGTCGAACTCCAGAGGCCAAAGTCTTGGTCATCTGAAAGATGAATGAACCCAAGAAGTACCAGTAATTTCTTCCTTTTTAAAACCAGTAAAAGTCTAACATCATGCATAGTATCATAAATATTACTGCAGTGTTGACTTTCCTTTTCTAGTTGTTGATAGTCCTGCATTAGATTTAGTATAATATACATGTTAGATAATAATGATTTAAATCTGATCATATCTAAAAAATAATATGAAGACAAACTGTTGTTGCTATAATGAGCAACAGTTAAATGACACATTTAAAAATGTGCATGGATTTTTGCTCACTCTCTATCTGCAACATAATATGAAAATATATTTTTTACCTTTCAGAAAACAATTTAATATCATAGCTATTTCTGAGACATGGCTGACAGCTGAAATGGTGATGGATATTGAGTTGGATTGATATAAATTAAAGTGTATGAATAGAAAGGGTAAAAAGGGGTCGATGTGGCCCTGTATGTCGAAAAGAAGTTCAAGTATTGGGCCCTGGATTGTATGATATTATCCTTAAATGGTATATTGGAATGCCTCACTAGGAAATGTAGAAGGAAAAAAAAGAAATCTATGGTTGCTAGTTGTGCGTCTAAAACACTATCAAGCATCGAATAATTGAATAATATAACGGAGCCAACACATGAGATCCATTTAATTTGTGGGGATTTTAATGTAGAGCTGTTGAATCATAACAAACATAAAGTGACAGATGATTTTATGGAGAGTATGTATGGTGTGAGTTATTTTTCCCAAAAAATACTAAACCTATAATACAATATTTTTGCAAAAAATATAGAAAATGCAATCAGTGGAATTCTGATTACTGATATTAGTGATCACCTACTGTCTTGAGTTGGAACTATATGAGGGAACCTGCTACAGGAGATGCAGTATAGGAGGGTGAGAACAGAGGAGTACATATCTGCTTTCAGAGTGGATTTGATCAATTACAACTAGAAGAGTTTATATGGTGAAGATGTTGTGAACAAAACATGAGAGACATTCTTCATTATGACAGAGATTTATCCTTAAATATCTGTCAGAAGAAGACAGAGAGATTGTTGAAACTGAATGTAAAAACAAACTTTCAACAGATTGCGATGATATTTCTGTGTATTTGCTGATGATGCAACTCAACTTTTCTATGTACTTGGAAAAGAAACGGATAAACCTGAATTTTGGTTTGATGCAGTTTGCTATGACTCATTTCTTGATTTTTCTGATGAGATGAAAAGGGTTTTTGATCTAGTACATCTATAGAGGCGACCAGAAGACTGTTTCCCCTTAAACAGGGTTCCCGACCAGTGACTGATTATGTCCTCCTCCTTTGGCACAGGAGGCTCTGTTTGATATCTTTTATCAGGGTCTATCAGAGGATATTTAGGACGAGATTTCTACCTATGATCCTCCCAAGACCCTCAAGGCTCTGGAAAAGTTGGAAACCAGGATGGATGAAGGTCTTTGCGAGCAAAGGAGAGAAAGAGGGGTCTCCAACGTTCAGGTCAGTCCATGTAGGGTGCCATCAGTCTCCATGCCCCCTCATGGTTGCTCTGAGGGACTGGTGCAGATCAGAAAGTCCTCGTCTCCTGCAGGTGCAGGATTTTTGGGAATGACAGACTAGTGCCTAGATGCGACTGTTTGACCACTTTTGGTTGTTTCTGGCAAACAAACATGCTTGTGGGACACAGCCAGAGGATTTGAAAGGTGGGGTGTAAACACGTCCTGCAAGTCCTAATCCAAGGCGGGGAAAGATGATTCTCCATCACCAGTCAAACTGACGCTCTGAGGTTTTGTAGGCAGATGGTAATCTCCCCCTCTCCCGCCATAGGGTCATAGAAGGGTCCTGCCACGAGGCCATGGTCCACCAAGTACAGCAACAGATCAAAAGAGTCGAGTATTTCACCCCACCTTGTTCCTGGTTCTGCGTCAGGGGCCACCGTCACTGCGTGGTCCTCCGGTTCCTGGCTAGATGCCATAGAACAGTGTTTCCTAACCCTGGTCCTCAACGCACACTGCCCTGCATGTTTTACAAGTTTCCCTGCATCAGTACACCTGATTGTGATAAATGGAACAACTTTTCAGCTATGCAGAAAGCTGCTAAAGTCCCATTTATTAGAAGCTAGAACCATTAGAGCCTTAGAAGCTAGCACCAGATGACTGGCCAGGCTTTGCTGAAGCAGCTTGAGGGAGGACCGGTTACAATGAGAGCATTGAAGAGAGATGTTGAATCTCCGAAACTTCAAGAGCTGCTTGGGCATAGGCTGGTAAGAGTGTCTTTCTCTTGAAAAACTTTACAGGCTTGGAACGAGGTGCCCGGTTTGGTTGAGAGAGAAAGACCTTGTGCAAACTTCTACTCGTAAAGAGAAGAAGTTTTTGAAAAGCTGGCTGTGCAGTGCCAGTACTTTCCGGAGGGGGATGGAGCTTCTGATGAGGTCACGCCCAGATCGCTTCCCAGTGTGAGACACAACACGACAACCCTTCTGGTCTAACATTTGACAGATTAACAGGTATGTCTCTACTGTGTACGAAGGCTTTTCTGACCTCGTTGATCTTTATGGTCCTGGTGTATTGTTGTGCAGAAGCTGGAGCAGCCAGACAGGTAGTGCAGTATATTCCAGAAATGTTTTTGGAATTATGAGGGAAAACTATCAGTTTCAGGTAAATTATTGTTTGGCATTTTGCCTTGTGCTTTTTTCTGTTCTTCAGGAATGAAAGATGTATTGAATGCGTTTCAAAACTAACTACTGGATTTCCACAACCCAGGCATGAAGGGGAGAGGGAATTCTAAGGTGAGCAAAAGCTTTACGGCTGTATTTCTAGATTATCTTCCAACTCCAGGAAAAGACATATCTAGATCTATAAATGAGATAATTTGTTTTCATCCATTTTCGTTATATAGAATATCCTGTTAACTAAAATGTGATATTTTAAAAGACTTAAGTATTGAATAAATTACGATATTAGTGCCCTTTTCTTTTTTTTTTTCAATCACCCTAGGAATAGATGTTTTAATCCCTGTAGATGCATTAATGAAGACATTAATTGCATTTATCCAAGGAGTGCTGGAGAAATGACTGATTTTGATCCCATACAGGATTCATGAAAGCAATAGTTAATGACATAACTGGACACAAAATTGACAAAAGCGCATTTTATTTTTCATATAAAAATGTTAAAATTTACAATTAACAGGGAAAATCTCTCATGTGTGCTAATAAGAAAATGGTGAAAAGATTGATGTTTATTTTGTGTATTTGCTTAAACAAAGTCTCATGGTACCTTAAAGTAACAGCATGACCGTACGATAAAGTCCAACATTATTGTCTGCAATGCTGAACTTCACAGACTGGAAACATGGCAGTGAGAGCAGGTAAGTCCATCCGAAGTAAACTCCTCCCTGATGAATGACAGAGCCCAATTTTTTGACACAAATTTAATCGATAAAAACAAAATGCTCTGCATCTATTCAACTGGCTGTAGTGTACCAACACCACAAACGGTACGATAAAGCAAAGACTTCCACTTCACCAGCACAAAAACCATAGTTACAGTAAGCCAGGATTGTAGGTCCACCGTTATCCTGCTCTGGTTCTCGAGGTAGAAGAACCCTTACTGAGTGTAAAACGTGGCTTAAGTTAAAAGTGAAGGCATTGTAGGGGAGCAGCAGCTGCATTGGGTCCACACTTCACTGCGGGTAACTGCAAACAAACCTACTCGTCATCTTTTCCTCCCGTTTTACTCAGCTAAAGCAGAAACACAAAAAAAACCCATTAGGACTAAGCAGTGAGCTGAGAAATGATAACTGAATAAAACAAGGCAACAAAAGTATTGTTTAAGTGAATTGTTTGTACTTACATGCTGCAGGAATGGCAAAGGTGGACAGAAAAGAACAGAAAAAGGTAAATAATTTTAACAGTGCACAGAAAATGAAGTCCACCATCTTGTGAGAATATGTAGAATTCCACCTACCTTGATCACATCCACCCAGTTCCACCCTCTGGGCAGTTCACCCTTATTGTCTGAAAACAGAAGCCATTTTGTCATGGAATGACAGTATAATAACAAATTCTAAAAATAATTTTGTTACATTCTTTTGGAGACAGAAACCTCGTCATAAACTGAAACTTCTTCCACTTTTTATACCCCGTCCCCTTTATGTGTTGTCATACTTTTTTTAAAATGCTAAAATGGATTTTTACCCCCTTCTGAATCCATCTTTACTGGACAAGTTTCAGCCCAGGCAATTTACAGGGAACAGATGGTAGTGAAATCATCATTCACATGAGCTGTCTGCTTTGGGTAACCCCTCTTTCCAGAGGACACATTTTCATTATGATAGGATATTATTATTACACATTTAAAAAAAATAAGTTCATTCTTAGAAAATATGAGTAGAAGTGAGTAGGCATCTAGGACAGATACTAAATCACATTTATAATTTTTTTAATTCTTGCTACTTAGTGTCCCAGTGGTGTTTTTTCTTAAACCCTTTCTTAATTTAAATGGATTAAATGAAAGCAATATATAGTAAATTATAAAACTGATGCATCTTGTTGCATGCCTTAGGCTTGATTTGCAGTTTTGAAGTCTAGCCATACAGCTGTGTCAATTATTAAGTTCAGCAGGATGGATTTTTCCTATTCCAGAGCTTTCGAACATCTGCTCTATAATTTAGGAAACAATTGTAACTCGAACCCTTGATCCCTAAAGGTATTTTTGCCCCCCACTACTATCTACTCAGCATGGGTCATCTCTACGTGTGTGTATTTTTTCCCCCACTAGGGACTGGAACCTCCTGACAGTTGGTTATGTCACCTACTCAGCCGGGATTCCAGCTTGACTGGGGCCAGCGGCCACTGTTTGGAGGCCATGACAGTAACTACATGAACCAACAGCAGTCCAACCACAGGGTCCAGAGGTAAATGTCTTGTATACAAATGACAGCGCAGGACTTTTGGGCCATTTTGATGTCACGACCTCTTTTGGAATGGAAAGCCACCTAAACTGAACAGTGCTGAGTGGAGTACAGCGGAGCCACTCACTAAAAATACCAGAATATTCTTCACCTGTTCTGTTGAAAATCCTCCTCTTCTGCGCTTTAGTCAGCTGCTCTTTCTTCTCCTTCTTTTTCGCTGTTGAGGAGGGAACCGTCATCTCGTTGGATGTCAGCATCTACACAACACACTTCAAATCAGTTTTTCTTAACCCTGGCTACAAATTCAAAGACAATTTCATTCTAACAAACAATCCACTCACAAAAAGTATGTATGTTAGTAAATATGAAATGGTTTTCTTCTGTAAATCTACCCTGAGTTCTTTCTAGAACAGGGAAGAAAAGGAATGACTGACTGATTAGATATATGGTTGTTTTACAGTGCACCGTGATCAGAGTTTGAGTCTCTCAGACAGGACACAAGACAGAGAAATGGGACCATTGTGGAGGTCAGGAGGCTGATATACTGACCACAGAGATCACAACGGGTTTGTGGTTCTCCATTAGGGCCTCCTGGTTCTCTTTTGCCCACTCAAAAAGAGTGAACATCATCGCCGTTCCCAAGTTAGCTTCCACCTGCTCGTCGAGCTTTGAAAGGATCATCTGCTTCGTCTCTGCAGAGCTAAATGAACATAAAGGAAAAGAGGTAATGCAGTGTTTCAGAGAACAGCAACAGCGGGCAGTGTTTCTCCAGTTTTCAGAGTGGTTTTACAACACCTGGTACATTTCTCTGTGAATAAACATGGAGATGCAGAGGCAGTAAAAAGCAAATAACTTTTCAAAAAACAACTTCAGTCCCTTGAATATACACTTTGTTAGCTCTAAAAACCCATTAAACTGTACTGTAAATGGCTTCTACTTGCTCAGTATAGTTAGTTTCTGCTGTCTCCAGACAGGGTTGTGTCAGAAATCGACATATCCGTTTAAAATCAAAGCACAGAAAAGAAAGTAACTTTCCCATCCCGCGGCTGACTAGAACTTACATTCTGTTGTTGAAAAAAGCATCAAGGGAGATCTGTGGCGCCGTCTCAGGGTATGTCTCTGGCCACGTGATGTCCAGCATAAACGCTTTGGTGTCCTCATGGTCTCCTATCTATTCAACAGTATTCACATAGGAAGCAAAAAACTCTTGAGATGTTAAGAAAGGTCCCCAGAAGAAAAACTGCTCTTAATATATAGAAATCTATGTTTTACGAATATGCTGACAAATCTTGGTGTTTGGGAGCAGTACAGTACAGTGCAGGGGAGGAAACACTTACCCTAAACTGGAAAGAAACTGGACTGATTTCCTTGAAACATTCATCCCCTTCATAGATGGAGCGAAGAGCCTCCAGCTCCATCTGTGATGAGAGACACAATCAGATGAAAGGACAAAAAATCTTCCACAATTTAGCTCTCTAAACTGTTTAGTGACCCTCGAAAAGCAGGATTAAAACAGTCAAATGAGGCTGCTGCTCTGTACTTGTGATAAACACTGAAATAATCTGTGAAATGATTTGCAGTGAGGAACTGACAGTCCAAGTCACAGACTCTAGTAGAAACGTGTTGAATTAGCTAAATTCTCAAAGAGGTTTGGTGTAATATTTCTACGTTGGGACTGTCCCTTTCATTTACTATTCCACATTACGTGTTGCCTAAGCTGTCCGGAGCCCTGGCACACTGAGCACAGCCGGACACACGGACTGTTTCGTTTAGCCGGACGTTCCTTTAGCCATGCTAGCCCTGTTGCGTTAGCCGTTAGCCGCTAGCCGCTGCTAACGTCGCCGCGTCGGTATTCATTCATACCTCCTGGTCCTCGTTAGCGGTCATGGTTTTTCTTACGGTTGCGGTAGAATGGGACAAAAACCATCAAATCAACTTCCACTTCTGTCGCTACAGCCGAACCGTGTAAATGTCCCAACTTTCCATGCCGGCACGCTCAGTGGACCAGACATGACAGTCTGCGCATGCGTAGTTGATGGCGACCACAACGTGACCGGCGTGACTCACGACTTGTCTATTTCAAACTAAAGTCTGGGGGAAATGCTTTAAATGGAAGAAAGCTGGATTTAAAAGAAAAAATTTAAGAGCTCAGTAGGATCATAGAAGATGATTCCTCCATAAAGAATCTTTTAAAATGTGAGTGGGCATTCAGCCCCGTTTGTAAAGACATTAGAGAAAGACACAAATAATCACCTGTGTGGAGTTAGCATGTTGTCCCTGTGTAAGAATAGACTGTGTACTCCAATTTCCTCCCCTAAAAGTACTTGTTAGATTAACTGACTACTAGATTAACCGATAGGCTCTAGCATCTTCCAGGATTCTCTGGAATAAGATGGTATAGAAGAAAGATGGATTGATAATCAAGTTGACTTTCAAAGCGCTTTTACCCTGGTATTTTCATTCACTCAGACACATACTCACATTTATAACATTTCTTAAATCTGTACCACGGTACAGACAAAGTCAATAGAAGAACAGCGCAGACATTTTTTTATTTGTGCCATGCTCCTAGAACAATGTTTAGTGGACTAATAAACCAGTGGTGATATTGTTTATTTTATCAAAAATCAATGCATCCAATAGAATCGGGTGGAATTAGGATGGTGATTTTGGGGTTTCTTTGCCTGAACAACTTGCCCTTCTCATGAGGAAGTTAATTGAATTTGTGACAGTAAATCTGCAAACTGTTTAGTTTCAACCAAAGAAATGTTGCTTCTTTAAAAGTCCCTGATCGATCTTCTATCTTAATTCAGTGGAGATATAAATGATAAGACTAAACAGTTTACAGCAGAAATAATTACTGAAACACCTATGTAAGACTGAACATTTTGAAATGGCTCTTGAGCACTGTGCGCAGTCATGGCTTTGTTTTGGAGACAAAAAACATAGTTCTTGTTTTAGATAATAGAAGTAGTTAATAAAACATTGTGAATATGCATATGCATGAGTAAGAGCAGGACAGACTGTGAAAATAGCTCTTCTACCTTTGCTATTGCATCCAGCACACTGCAAAATGTCTATGAAGTTACAGCCAACCTGTTTAATTTCCCTTACAGTGTAAAACTGAATAAGCTTTGAAGTACAAATCCACTGGTTCTTTACTAATGAGAGTGTGATGGTAATTGCCAGCAGCCCTGCTCAGAATGGGGGAAGCAACGCTGATTTCCACCAGGCAGCTGCCAATGACACGGGGTGTTTGAGTTGATATTATGCTGATCCTTTGACTTGTTCCCCCTCAGGTGAAGAAGACAGAGATGGTGGAGGAAGAGGATCAAGAGGGATGAAGAGAACAGGTTGCATAGGGGTTTGGATTTCTCTGTGAACAGAAATCAGTTATCTCGCTCCTCTGACAAGCAGCTTTATTTGCTCGAATGTGTATAACAGTCAGATGTATGATTCTAAACAAAGTTATTATTAGTTTAACGATTAGACTAATATATGTTTTTCTTTGTTGGCAAATTAAATCTTAACTATGTTTTCTTCTATTCTATGAGATATCATATTACAGGTCACAATACCACCTCTAGTGTTGCTGCAATCATTATAATGAATAAATACAAATAATTTAATGAATGTATTAATTAAGTCATAGTGGAAAGAAACAAACCTTAATTGCATTGAAATACAGGCGCATCCATTCTAAATGTGATGATTAACCGTGGAAACATTAATTCATACTGCTCATTCCTAGCAAGGCTGGAACCTTTTCCAGTTGACTTTGGACAAGAGATAAGATGCCCTCCAGTTGGGTTGCCAGTTTATCCCAGGGCCAAATAGAAAATGAACAACCATGTATGCACATACGCACTCCCAGGGACAGTTTAGAATCTTAATGCGCAATTCATGATTTTCAGCCGTGTGAGGGAGCTGGTGTTGCCAAAGAAAACCGGGGAGAACATCCAAACTCCACAAAGAAAGGCACCCACCTCCCTGTGGATTTGAACCAAGAACCCTCATTCTGTGAGGATACGGTAGCAGCCGCCGTACCTTTGTGCAGCCACAGCTGAAACATTTAGGTTTTTTTATAATCGTCATACGCACTTCAGTGGATTTTGTGTTCTCTCTGGATTTTCTATAGGTACTCTTACACTGAAGATATGCATGTCAGTTTCTCTTTCAAACCAAGTGAAAAGCCTCCTCTAATCCTGTGGACAGATCCTAATCAGGATGTGTAGGTTCATGGTTAGAATAAGCTTTTTTTCCCTAGCTACGGGATCTTGATGCATGTAAAAAGGTCTGTTGCTGGATAAGCCTAAAATACTGCAGGCTACTATTCTAGTTAAGCAGCTGCAGTATGCCTGCATGGGTTCACCTGGAGTTTTAATCATTCAAAAGCCCATTAGTATTCCTTGTGAGGAACGTGAATCACACTTGAGGCCTATATTTGGCCGAGAGTTGAGACTCAGGCCACACCAGGCCCTATCTCCATGAATCGATAGAGAGGAGCTTCTTGAGTTTAGCTGAATGCTGTTTTAGTGCCCCCTAAAAGGAAAAGGGTGAAGAAAGCTCCTTAGAGAGCTTGGAAGAAGAAAATAACTCCAATGTAAAAACATAGAGGTACTTCTAATGTCGTTATTTTCATTTTAACCTCCGATTAAGCAGAAATCATCACAGCAGTCAGTTTTTCTCGAACCAGAAAGCCCATGGAGAACGTTTTTGTTAACTTTAACTTTTCATGAAAGTCACCTCGCCGGAGTTCCTGATGAGAAAAAACACCTCTCCCACTCTGAGGTGACACTCTTCCAACTTTTCTTTCTTTATAAATTTTCTATTTTATTTGGACTTCAGACGGTCAGATGGTACAACAGTGTCCAGAGCATTCAAAGCCAGAAGTAAAGCACAAAATCATTAGACCTTAAACCTTTAACAATTTCTATGATCAAGTTCTGGCTCATTTCTCCATTTACTCCATTTTTTGTCTGTTTTTTTCCCTTACACCCCATATATCATAACCAGCCTTCCCTTTCATAAGAACATATATAGTTAATATGTTGTGGTTTTGAATGTTTGTTCAGTTGTTTCAGTACAAATGAGAATTCCGACTTTCAAGAATAGCGCACGAGATTTATAGAAGGTCAATAAGAATTTTCCCTCTATACAGAAGGAGTTTCCCCTATCAGTGAGGTTTATTTAATATAAGTGTGAATGTTACACAGCTTTTGGACAACACTGGAGCTCTGTGACCTAAATTCTGACCTTTGGTATGATTTCATTTTTAGTTTTATAGCACATATGAAATGTATACTTAGCTGCATACGTAGAAGATTTGACATTTATCAGCAAATGTGTTTGGTGAACAAGATATGCACTAAATTACAAATTTTAGTGTAGTAAAAAAAAAAATGAAGATGTTCTTGCTCATTTTTCCTAAATCTCTGGAGCTTGAGTAGTTTCTGAATTTGAATGCATCATGTCAGTATGTTTTAAACTGTGGAATTTAACAGCAAGAGTTGTTCAGAGTACACTATTTCTACTTTTAAGACTGCATTTTATTGGATTGTTGAACTTCATTATATTCCTAAATGATAAATATAGCCATAGCTTCTATGTTGGGAACACCAGAGGGCGCTTAGAGCTTGATATAAAAAAGTGAGTGTTTTTAGGGAAAACTATCTTCCTGCCCCTATACCCCACACAATTTTTGGCCAATATCTTTGCTTGTAATTTCAAAGAAATGCACAAAAAAAAAAAAAAAAAAACTCATTGAGGCCTCCTAAATGCAATTATTTGAAAAGGTTTTCCCTTTGGCGGGAAACAATTTTCTTTGCAAATAAAGACATTTAATCTTAAATAATCTTAAAGTATTTCTATGGACATTATGTAGCTATTCCAAACACATCTGCTTCAATGACTAACATCTAATACATTTGTCTATCAAACAGTTCAGTATTTTTATGGCCTTGAACAACACTAAGTTACATTTACCTTACCTCATACACAGTGCACAAAATGAAGCCAGTGTAAAACCAGAAGTGAATACAAGGCTGTTGTCACCTCGCTTCTAAATGAACATATCTACACTGCAAAAGCTTTGTATACTATTGGGCAAACTCCAAATTGGCTAAGAGAGGAATGTCATCTCTTGAGAGGTGATAATTCAAATAAACATCCTTATCATGAGGATAGCTAAGAATAATTCCATGTTTTTCTGCAGTGCAGTGGAGAAAAGAGTGAGTAGGATGGCTTTGTTCTTGTGCTTTCGCAGAGGAAGGGTAAACTTTAGACAGACGTTTGTCATTTGGGGAACCAGCTAAGCCTTGAATGATAAAACTGGGCCTGTGTTATGAGAAGTGTGTCATGCTCCCTTGACAGGTCTACTAATAACATTAGCAGAGGGGAAGGAAATGTTTGACTCCATCTTTCATGCACAGGATGTCACATGCACATCTGATTCCTCTTCAGAAGCAACAAAGCAAATACACAGAACAGCATGAAACCATATGGCATGCATGAATAAGTCATTTGATAGAAAGAGAGCATTTTCTGCAGGCTACATCTAGCTAACAGCTTTGTGGTTTTGAACTTGTTACCTTGTGATGTGATATTGCCTACACCCAGTATTGGGGGTGTTTTTTTCCTGCTGAAAACAGCAAAAAAAAAACCTGAATAGTTGTAAACAACCTTGTTTAAACAGGGTTTAAACACCACCAGGATTTCTGCATATTATACAATTTAAGATGTTTCCAATATGAGGACCAGAAAGTCGTACTGGCTTTCTGAAGAAAGAAAAACTCAGCCAGCCACTCCTGTTTTAAGGCTTTTTTCTAAAACAAAGATCTTTAAAAAAAATAGCACAAAAACTATTTTAGTTTATTTTTACTTGCGCTGGAACTGTTGGGAATTCTAGGTTTTCAGATCTGTTGTAGGTACTGCTATGAATTGTCTGACTCATAGCAAAATGGCATCACTGGTTACACTGGGACTTGAAACTTAAACAAAGCAAACAAAAAGAAAGTTGTCAAATCAGATAACATACAACTAGAAACTCCAAATAATCCCAATTCCCAAACTTGAGTACAATGATTAAAGATTAGTAATTTGCAGCTTATCCTTTCAAAACCAATGAAAACAGTAAGGC